ACACACACACACACACACACACACACACACACACACACACACACACACACACACACACACACACACACACATCCTTGTATTTGCATCAAACTGAGGACATTGTATTGACTTCCATCCATTTTTGTAACTGTATTTACACCTAACCCAGACATTTTCACTAAAATTAACCATTACTGGTCTATAGTTAACCCTAACCTGAACCAAAACTTAATTCACACCATACCTCTAAACCTAACTAGTAAAGCACAGCAGAGCTGCAAAGTGAGGACACTGAAGAGGCCCTCACTTTGCATCAAAGACCTCACTTTGATAGTAACTATAGCGCAAATGGTCCTCACTCTGTAGTAGAAACAAGTACACACACAGACAGCTGTATAGTGAAACTTCAAAAGACTCAAAAAAAAGAAGCAGTCATAAAACTATATTGTAAATAAAACTTTAACTTTCGCATCCTCTCGTGGTACAACTGAAGGTGGTAAAAAAAATTCAAGAATTCCATTTATGATTCCTATTTTCAACGATTTTCCAAATAATGCATGTATGAAGATGTGCACCAGTGCCACATAAAAGTCTTTTTACAATTTAACTATTTAGTATGCATATCACTACACAAAAACATCCTCTATTTAAGGAATACTGAAAATGACATGCCAGTAAGATTGTGTAAATGTAACATATTTCACTTTGCTCACCTCATTGTCAAAAGCCCATGGAGGGATAGAAAACTGCATGGCAGGCATAAAAGCAGACAGCTCCAACCATCTGATGTACAACTCTCTGTCCGGCAAACTGTTTGTACCGTTTGTTCTACCTAAAACACATCACAGATTTCAGATTATACAGTGAAACTGAATTAAACTTCCTGTAGATATATCCAACTGTAAGTGATGAAGTTTCTTACCTGCAGTGTGGTTGGGGTAGGCGTTCCCTCCTATCATATCTGGCAGGACAAACTGGTAGCCCAGAACGCCAATAGTCAGAACAGTGGGGATGATGGACTTGAGGCCGAGCTCATAGCCCCACACCGAATCTCTGTCAATGATTCTGAAGAAACAAGAGATATTCTGACTCTGGTAACCCACTCGCAGCTCGGCGCGTGAATTAAATGGGATGGCCATCTCCGAGTAGCGCCGGGTGAAGGTGGACGGATCGGACAGTGGGACCAGGGTGCTAAACTGGCGAGGGAGGTAGCTCGTTTCTCCTGCATCGAACTTGAAGGACGTCACGTTATAACGAGCTTTGAGCGTGTGCAGGTTGGAGGAATACCACTTACGGGCTTCTGGGTTTGTAAAGTCCAAGATGCCTCCGATCCCGTTCCACCAGCGAACCAGAGCAGGCAGCTCCCCACTCGGCTCGCGAACCAACAGCCCTTTCTCCACAGCCACCCCAAAATTGATGGAGTCGTAGTTGATGAAAGGATGCGTCCACAGCGTGACTTGAAACCCGCTCTCTTTGAGTTTGGCAAACATACCGCTGGCGTTGGGGAACTTCTGCGGGTCAAAGTCAAACTCTCCGTAGTCAGTGGTGTAGCAGTCATCCAGCTCCAGGTGGGAGCACGTAAAGCCGTGTTTAGTGATGTCAGATGCGAATCGCAGCACCTTTTCCTGAGTTACAGATGTCTTATGGAGAGCCCACGTGGACCACACGGGTTTCTTGAACACATCAGGAGATGGGACTTTGATGGGCTTTGGAAAATACCGCCGCACCTGAGTGAAATACATAACATGACAATAACATGTAATTACAAACATAGTTTTGTTTGCTTTATTCAAACCTAACAAGAATGAATTTGTGCAGTTTAAACAAATAGTTTCACATTATAACAAAATTCATTGCTTTGATTGCAGAAGCAAGTCACTCTGATTTAAAAGGAAGGCTGAAATCAGTAAGCCTGGAGCTTCTTCTTGCTTGGATTTTTAGAGCCAAGTTATCTGGATTCTCCTGCTTTCGATCTTCACGCAGGACCATTTCAAGGACAGTATTGATCTCACTCACGAGAGGGTAATTACATTTACTTTCTGAGGAGCCAAGMTTTTTCCACACTGCAGAGGACGATAAGACTTCAGCCAGCGGTGGAAAAGCTGACTGCCCTTTTGGTTTCTGAATAAACAGTTGTTTCACAGTCCTTCATTTCTGCACAGTGAACTTAAAGGCCAAAAATCACGTCAAATGCACTTTTTTTGGCTGCAAGAGCAAACACAGGCAAAGAAATGTGCATGTCTAGAGGATTAACTCTGTATGTGTTTTGTTAGAGATAAGCTAAGATTATAAACAGTACATAACTGTGATGTCACCTTGTAAAGGTCAGATTAGGTTGAGGAAAACTGCACCGATTCTTTTAACATACGGTGGGGTGCGAAAGTTTGGGCAGCCTTGTTAATTTTCCTGATTTACCTTTATAAATCATTGATTGTTTGGATTTTTAAAAAAAATCAGTAAAATATATCATACATAGACAAACACACTAATATTTGAGAAGTGAAATGAAGTTTATACGATTTACAGAAAGTGTGCAATAATTGGTTAAACAAAATTAGGCAGGTGCATAAATTTGAGCACCAAAAAAACCCTTAACTCAATATTTAGTAGCTCCTCCTTTCACAGAAATAACAGCCTCTAAACGCTTCCTGTAGCTTCTAATGAGGGTCTGGATTGTGGCTGAAGGTATTTTAGACCATTCTTCCCCAGACGTGAATATTATTGAAAATCTGTGGCGTCACTTAAAAAGAGCTGTCCATGCTCGGAAACCATCAAGCCTGAATGAACTACAGATGTTTTGTAAAGAAGAATGGTTTATAAAAATAAATCAGGAAAATTAACAAGGCTGCCCAAACTTTTGCACCCCACTGTACCAGTGTTGTTTTCGTTAACGATGACGATGACAAAATATTTTCGCTGACACCCCCTTTTTTTCATGACGATAACAAGACGGTAACGAAATAAACTTAGCTCTTTGATGACTAAGACGTGACAAAACGTGTGTGAGTTTTCGTTGACGAGACGAGACTGGACGAAAATGTTACTCGGTGGTCTGTCAATCAAGAATGCAGAGTGGAGGGATGGACAGCAGCGCTGTTACACACACGTACACACACAGCAGCACAGAACATTTCCTCCTCTCATTCAGTAAAGAAGAAAGACAGTCTGTGCCACTTCGCAAAAATAAATAAATAATAAAAAGTCCATCCGTCACCTGTAGCTTAACCAGGAAGTAAAGTCTTCACCATTAAAGTCTGTCGCAGGTCCATGAGCGCTCAGAAGCTGTTTGTTTACATTCACGATGAAAGTAAAACGCAATTTGCACAAGTTTAATAGTCTACTAACTACGTTTAGGACTGCATGATGTCCGTTTTCATAAATAAGATGCATCTTCATCATCCTGGCTGACAAGTTTGAGTTGAACATGTGCGTTCCCCTTTATTGCTTGTAATATTGGGCATGTGTATTTTGTATGTTCATTGCACTTTAGCAAATTCTGAGAAATAAAGCCACAAAATGAGAATGTTTTTGTTTTGGGCAATTTTTTTAAGCTTTCGTTGATTAAAACTCGACTAAAACCATTAAATATAGAAATGACTAAAACTSACTAAAACTAAGAAGTATTTTTGTTCAAAAGACTAAGACTAAAATTAAAATGGCAGTCAAAAACAACACTGCACTATTCGTCATACCAATTTAATCATCTTAAACATCACTAACGTGATTTTTTATTACCTTCATATTAGTTACGTAGTGTAAGACACTGATATTCAGATAAGCTTCTAGCTAAATGGATTATTTAATAATTTATTAGTCAGTTTAACTTGCTTTATTGTATGTTTTTATGCTTGTATTATATGTTTGTATCTATTTTATATCTGCTCCTTGTGAAGCACTTTGGTATGTCCATCTGTGAAAGGTTCTATATAAATAAAAGGTACTTACTTACACTAAAGTAATAAAGTATGTCCTTCCTGTCTGGTATTACTCACCATGTATTTGTGAATGGAGGTAACATCTGACCCCACACAAACTCTGTAGCTGAGCTCAGGAAAGGCCTGCTGTCCTGCCGGTGGTCTAAAGGGAGAGTCCTGGTACCGGGCCTGAAACCTCAGAGTCCTGTCCCTCTCTGACCAACCCAAATGAAACGGTACCGAGTCGTTAATCTTTATCGCTGTTGCGTTGGACGACAGCCAGTAACGCTCGAGGATTCCCCCGAAAGCGTTTCGATTGGAGTAGACGTCGCTGGTGATGAAAGGCCGTGGCTCCTCTTCGCCTTGGAACCTGATGGGCCAGTACTGGGCTGCTGTCTCTGCTCCTCCGTACCAGTGGGAGCCGTTAAAGGTCATGGTGTGTTCGACTGAGCGCTTACTCTGCAGCTCCTCCCAGCGAACACGATAACAGGTAACAGTGCCTTTCTCTCGGACCGTCTGGATGAAAAAGTTCAGTTTGCCAGAATTTGACTGAGTACAGCTCAGATTATTTCCCTCTTTTGAGCAGGAGTCCAGATTCAGAGTGTCTGACCTAAAGCGATGCACGGACAGGGAGACACACATTGCAAAGGGGAAGGTTTAACACGGTGCAAAGCAAGGCATCATTAGCTTCAAGTCTCTTTTGGTATTACTGAAAACACAACTGCGTGCTAAATTAGGAATATAATGGAGTCTAAATGCAATCACACACAAAAATGATTCGCTCCACTTAATCTATTTGAGGGACCACACTTAAGCTATTACAGTTCAATGTGTCTTTGCTGATAATGAACATGACTAAATCAGGCCTCCCTCAGGGTGTCTGTCTCGTCTAGTTTTCCATCATCTATCTCCAAATTGCACACTGCTCACTGCTCAGCACAAAAAAGAACAATTATACTGAAGCCAAGTTTTATTTATTTTTTTCATAATACAAAGAATCCTGAAAGCCACAGTTAGTTTACCAACAGGAATATTTATTTCTGAGTCACATTTTTGTTTTTCTGTTTATAGTTTATTCTGAAACAGTGTGCTTTTTCTTTGTTCTAAACTTATTAAATTGTACACTGCTCAAAAAAATAAAGGGAACACTTAAACAACGCACGCTAAGTCCAAGTAAATCAAACTTTTGTGAAGCACATTCAACTCTGTACAGAACAAAGTACTCAATGCAAATATTTCATTGATTAAGATCGGGAGTTAGCGTGCGTTGTTTAAGTGTTCCCTTTATTTTTTTGAGCAGTGTATTATTTTACAGATAATTTTCTACTTTTAACCTTCGGTGACTATTTGCTTTCTGATACGGTTTCTTTTTTTTAATTTTAACTCAATGTTTTTGTAACTTTAGCTATTAAATCCCCAATTTCAGTTTTAGCCTGTTTTGCTTCTTACTGTTTTGCTAAAATTAGCAACACTTTTGCTAATTTTAGACAGTGTATTGCTAATGACATATGTTTTGATAATCTTTGCTTATTTTGCTCTTAGTTACCATTTTGCTGCTTTTAGATATTATTTTGTTACTTTAGTTTTTGCTCTGTTAATTTTAGCAATGTTGTGCTCATTATACCCTCTGTTATGCTCATTTTAGCTTCTGTTTACACTTTAGCAACTTTTAGCCTCTTCAGCAAATCTCATCAGTCTTTAAGCACTCCCTTTCATTTGTACTGCAGCTTATGGAAGTCCCTATATTTATTCTGCTCTTTGTTTATGCTGTCTATCAATTTTAATTCTAAGCTGTAGCACTTCATTTTGACTAAAAATACTAATCAAGGCAAAAATCAGCACATTCATCAACAATAAAGAGACTTTCTGCAGCAAACCTACTTGAAGGTCATGGTGAAGATGGCAGCTCCTTCATGGTTACGTATGATGAAGCCATCTTTATTCAGATCGAGTAACTCTGTCTTCAGCAGCTGGGCTTTACGAAGCGACATTGAATAGTAGCACCAGGCAATCACAGCAGCCAGGACCAACGCACAGCCCAGCAAACCTGCCAGCACCAGCGGCCGGCCTTCGTGAGCTAGTTTCTTCTTAAGTGGGGAGCCACGGGCATCTTTAGCCACCTGCTGCTCTACAGGAGCTCCTGGGACAATCTGATACATGCTGAAAACTTGCCGTTTTACAGGAGGAGTGACAGCTGTAGTTATGTGTGTTTTAAAATGAACGTATCCGTTTCCTGGCACTAGCCTGATGTCTGCCTCCAAATCTTCAGCAACATGAGATAGGAATGGATTCATTCAGACCTGTGGGAAAGGCAGATATCAACATTTTAGCAGGCTTTAACAACCAATTAAAACAGTGACAGTCTGTGTGTTAGACTGCCCATAACAGTTCCACCTACTGTACTGTGTTTAGTCATTTTAAAGTTGGAAAGTGCTTCTAAGCAGCATWATGAGCATAGGAGGTGTAATCAGGTAAATGGTAGGTAAAGTTCTGCAACACCACAGCCACTCAAGCACCAATCATAAAAGTGGGTTATGATCAGAGGAAGTGCAGACTCCAAGTCAGCATGATACAGTAACATTTATCACTCCAGCTGCATAAATAATATTTAGGAGATGCACCTTTCTAACAGTTGCTCAGAAACAAGCCAGTAAGCTAAATAACCATACCTAACAACTAAAAAGGCATAATTAACTGTAAAACCAATGATTTTATTTTTACTTTAAAGAAGCTCAGAGGCAACCTAACAAACACAAATTAGTTTTAATGACTTACATCAACTTCTCAAAAAGGTTTTCATTACTCCTACTGCACATGCATTTTTGTCCAAGGTTCAAAATAAAAAAATACTCAGTTACAACTAAAGGTATTTTATATAACCTAAACTCTGCATCATTTTACATTTCCACTTCCTAACCTGCTCGCATGACTCAGAACAAGGCCCTCATATTTTATCATTAGATGCTCCACCTAGCTACTAAGCATAAAACATATTATTTTGTTTCTTCCCGTTGGTGACTTAAAGCAAAATGTGTGCTGTGGTTACATACCACAAAAAACAGGTGACAATAGGACTTCTTTACCAAAGTAGTGTGGCAGGATGAATTGCACCTGCTGGCAGGGTAATTGTGGTGTTGTGGCAGCCAATGACACTAGAGGGTGCTCCCTATAAAAAGCACAGGTAAACTGCAGGTTTAGATTAGATTGGTTGGCTGAAGACACGTCACCGTGTGGTCCAGTGTTGTGCCTGCTGGGTGCCAAGTGCAGGTGAGGTTGGCTGTCATGCACACTTATAATTGTTTCAGCACAGTTACTTATAAACTTCTGCACCAGCAGATAACTGTCGGCATGTTTGCCCTCACCACTGATTGTGGGTGTAGTGGCTGCTGTGGCCAGAGTTTGTGCCCTTACGTGATCTCCCCACAAGTGAGAGAGGAGATTGGCATGATCGGAATTGTGGGTGGCAGCTTTTAACTTGACCCCATCAGCCCCGCTGCTGCTTTGCCTCATTTTGATTCTCCTGTGTTCCTACAAAATGTTTGACTGAGGCGTGGCGCTCGAAGACACGCCCACGCCATGGAGGAGGGGAAGCAGAGGTTTACTATCAACAGTCTGGTGGAATCAATTGTTTCTCTGCTGATATTTTTAAACCACAACTTTCCAATTTTATCTGTAAATTAATTGTCTTTTTGGTATTTGTTTATTTGTTGTTTCTAAATTTGTTTTTATTCTTTTAGCTCAGTGCTGAGGACCAGTGACGGTGGTGTGGTTGACCTGGATGGCGGTGTCCCTTTTGTGTGTGCATGCTTGCGGTGATCAACACAGGTGGAGGGAAACCCAAGGAGTGAGTGTGGTTTCACGTGTGTTTGTAGTAGTTTGTCTTTGGGAGCCGCTCGTCCAGAATAGGTCTGGCACCTACCGGTAAGCCTCAGTAGCTGAGCATTAGTAGTTTGTGTTCTTTTGTTTTCATTTTTTGAAGTTTGTTTTTTAATCATTCTTTCACATTTTGTGTTTTAATAAAACAACTTTCTGTACTTGAAAACTGTCTTTTGCTTTTTGCAAAACCGTACGTGTGTCTTGACTTTTGATTTTCTGGGTGAAAGTTATTGGTTGTTGGTGACAACCAAACTTTAATGTTATAGCCCCAGAAGATCACCACTTGCCACAGTAGCATACTTTCAACAAAAAAAAGTTTAATAACTTGCAGCAAATTTACCTTGTTTTAACATAAACATAAAAAGGGGAAGTGTGGACTCAAATCAGTGATTCTATCTGAGTGTTATTAAGTTTACGCAATACAGTCAAACTGACATGTAACGACACAAACATATCTATAAACTTTCGACTCGGGTGTATTTTAACAACAAGCATGACAAGCCATAAGCAGCAGCGTCCTGGGTTTGGTTTAAAACAGCTGAGCGGATAACCCTCTCTCGTACACAGTTTAACAACGTACTGAAGTTGTTGTTTACACAGAGAATAGGTACGAGTTACTAGTGAAAGATTCAAACTCTTCTTAACATCTTTACGAAAAGTACAGGGATTTATTTACCTTATTTTTGCGGTGGCCGAGGTCAAAACACCAGCGGTGGTGAGCGCGAGCCGAACACCCTACTGCGCAGCCGCAGAACGGTTCGGACGCCCACCGATTCGTCACTCTTCGCCACAAAATGGCCTTCTGGGAAATGTAGTGCGAGACAACTTCTTTAAAAAGTTTTATTTATTATTATTTTCTTCTTGTTAATTTTTTTAGGTTTTTATTTTATTAAACCTTCGATCCAGCAAATTATTATTGTGGGTAAACTAACTTCCATCCTAAACATTGCTAGCTTATTAGCACCGACTTCATTTTTCTGTTTCCACTAGCTACCGTTGATTAATTACAATCTTTAAAAAAAAATGGGGTTTTCGGCGCCAGAAACGCACTAAATGATTGGACTTTCAGCTTATTTCCACGAGAACTGCCTTGAAAATATAAAGGTAAAATCAAATACACCCAAAATACTGAAGTGATATTACATGTTCTGCCACTGGGTGGCAGCAACAAGCTATGTTGTACACACAGGAACTGAATGCCTCTATGATACAATTCGTTTGTGTTTTTGTTGTTGAGAGGACTTGTGTTAATTGAAAAATGTATTTTAGTTGCTTGCTTGTTTTTAATTCAACATTTGGGCACTCTGCACAGGCCTAAGTTACTTACCTGAGGGGCACAGGACTAACCATTTCAAAGAGTCCCTAGTTTTTAACCTGGGAAGGTAAATGAAACAACAGAACAAAAAATTAGAGATGATAAAAATATATATTTATGTAAATTAACAAATAACTTTAACAACATCATGCTAAATAATATAAAACAATAATCATAAGATGAAAGAAACTGACCATATGCCATGGATCTTTTCGGTTTACATGTGACCTGTCAGTTATTGTAATTGTGTTTTTATTAGATTTTCTTCTTTGTAAAACACATTATTTGTAGTAGTAGGCTAGTAGTAGCAGTAGTACTTGTTTTAGTGTCGGCATTAGTAATAGTAAGTCTGGTACCAAATAGAAAACTAAAAGTTGGATTGCAATCAGGGTTCTGTTTCACAAACATTATTTGTCATTTTGTTTGCAAAACCTCCCAGGATGCAACCTGACTCGAACAGAAGACACAGAGGAAAGATGCTGCTGATCCTTGTGTCTCTGTTCTGTGGTGCCCCTGTTGTTAAACCCTGCCTTCAGTGTGACACCACCATCTTGCGCATGCACGAGGACTTCATTCTGTCTGCTCCCAGTGTCAGTGACCAGATTGAATTGCAAAAGATTTGCGACTATGCCCATGTGACTTACAGAGAGACCAGCCAAGTGCGAGAGGGGGTCATTGGTGAGAGAGCACATAATGTGGTGTCAGGATCTGTGTTACGTTAGTGCTTTTAGGTTTTTCTTTTATCCACTTCTTTTTTTATAACTCTGCTGTTCAGTTTGAGTTTTTTGAGTTCCTCTTTGCTATTCACTGTTTTCATTCAGCTCAGCTCTATTTTTTATACTCTGGTCTTGCCCTCATCCAGCAGTCCCCCATTGCGCTTCATGCCCTGTTAGGTTCTTTAGCGTCTCCTCATTTATTGCTTTGCACTTCTGCTGCCACAACAGGTTTTTGTTTTTGTATTGTGTTCATTTACAATAAGCTTTTTCATTTTTGTTCAGGCTCCTTGAATTAGTCTGTATTTTTGTGTTTGACCTTTATAACCTGTAACATGCAGACAGCTTTGTTACCTTATTTTCCGTCACATTTTTCTAAAGTATTACTATATTTTTCTACCTTCTCAGATCCTACAACTCTTTACAGAGCCAAAACGGAGTACCAGAGTGAATTTGATCGTTTCTTGAAAACTGACCACACTGGTGAGGAGTAAAAAGCTACTTGTTTCCAAATGAATACCTTACAATTCAAAATATTAAGATTAGCACAAAGACCATTTTAATCTGTATCAAACTGATAGTGTAACCAGAACACGATCAGTTTCTAACAGATTTCATAACAAATCTTGTTTTTTTTTTAGGCTCGCTGATATTTGACACCATTCAGATCATGGAGAAAGGCAGGAAGATCTTAGAGAAACATTTGGACGTGTTCATCTCTTCTGGTAATCAGATTGTAAGACRGTGAGTGTTCTGCTCAGTGTGAGGCAGGGCACTTTGTGCATTTCAGTGCTCTGCATTAGCTTCAAATGATTTCTATGCTTCTCCCTCAGGACTGTGCCCCAACACGTGTGGTAAGTTTGTTATGTTTGATTCCTGGATTGATCAGTGTGTAAAACATATTGACTTTGAGCATGTTTACAGAACACATGTGCGTTCGTGTACGTGTGTGTGCCCTTTTAGGCCTTCTGCACAGAAGGGTAATGGACTGCTTCTCGTGTCAGTACGAGGTGTACATCTGTCCCTCTCCATCGGGCCAGCAGGACTGCGGTGGTATATTATCTGTTTGTTTGCGTAAGGTCCAGCTGAGTGGTTGGGTGAGTGGATGTGGGAGGGAGTCCCACCTACATGGTGGGAGTGCATCGCTCTTCAGAGCACATAAAAGCATGCTGTCACGAGTGTGGAAATGTGTTCTTAAGCAAGGCGCGGCTGTCTGTCCATGTGCGGGGTTAATGAAAAAAGATTACAGAAGTAATCCGGATGCAAACGAACAAATAATCTCTTGTTTTACCTCCTCTCACCCCTTTTGTCCAGCGTTTCCAGTGGAAGCAGAAGAGGGAGGCCAAGCAGTGCTGAACTGTTTTGTTTCGTGGCATCGACTTCTGTTAGGAAACCCGGAATATTATTATTCCTGGGCACCAGAGACAGGAAACAAAGAGGTTTAAAATGACTTTAGTAAAAAATAGACAGCACTACCTTTTGTGTGTCAAATTTTCTGCCATGTTTAGTGGCCTACTATCAAATCAAATGTTTATTTGTATTACCTGCCATCTAATTTGTGCACACAGCTGGATGAAAAGGACTTCACAGCCTTGGTGGTGACAGAAGACTCATTTGTGGTCTTGAATCAGCTGCATTTGGATGAGCAAGGAACATATCAGTGCTCTTTGCGGGACCAAAATGGAACCGTCTTCTATCGAGTCACTTTCCTGCTGTCAGGTGCACTCATGTGAAACACAAAAATAACAGTAAAAACAATTCAGATCACACACCTGAGATTAAAAAATATAGGAATGTTTATCAGCAACTAAAATCTGAAAACAAGCAAATTCCATTCTTTTGTATTTGGTAATAAAGGCTGCTAAATTGGAAAATTTGAAAGCACCAGATGTTTAAGGACAAAAAAGTGCAGCAGATGTCAATAAAATCACTTAACCCTCCTGTTATGTTGTGGGTCA